GTCAAAGAACAACGTCAAAAAGTGATTAACTATGAAAAATTACATGATAAATGGATAATGCATATAAATATAAATCGAAATCGTTTATTAGAATTATTTAATAGACTTAATAAAATTGAACAATCTATGAACAATACAAAAAATATTTTTCAACAATTTGATCATAGCAAATTATCATAGAACCAAATATATTAATTCATTATAATGATATTAATTTATTTATACAACGATGGTCAGTGTTTCTTTTTTTTTAATATTCTGAAAAGAAAAGAATCTTTTGTTTGTTTTTCACGAGAGAAAAGAACAATTATACTGATATTAATAATTTATAAACTCTTTCAATTAAAAATTTTCGTCGGTTATATGGCCAATCATGAATAATATATTTCAATGAAACAAGATCAATCATTGGAATTTTTTCAATTATTTCATTTGGTCATTTTGCATCAAAAAAATCACCAACCAGCTACATATTGAACATTTGAATGATCTATCGTTCATGATAAAGCATAACAAGTCACTTTAGGTAAATCAAGACTTAATGCATTAATATGTGGATATCGTTTAACAATTTTTCGACTAAGCTCACCTAATGAATCACCGATATCAAGTAATGTTGAATATGATGAAAAATCAACATGATCGCATAATTCATTTATTGTACAACATGTAAATGAAGACATTGTTTGTGCAAAGTAAATCATTGCACCATGTTTTTGTTTAAATATTGTTCAAAGACATGATTCTTCATTACTTTCTTCACTTGCTCTTATACTGGCATCGCAGTCGTCCTATATTTCCTATATTTTTCAAGTTAGTCCTATAATAGACTATATTTTGAGCTTTTTTCCTATATTCCTATATTTTTCAAAAAATTAAAGATTATTATGGAAAGAACCATATTTCCTTCAAATAAATGCCTAGCATGTTGTTTAACCCTTGCAGTACCGGCCGGGGTCATTTCTGACCCCAACCTAAAAAATATACAAATATGCTAAAAATATTGTTTTTTTCTCAGCTTTTTTCAGCTATTGGCATCGCTTAAGAGTACATCTATGTCGTTTCATCTAAAAGGGGATATACTTATTTTCCATATCGATTCAACCCCCTGATACAAAACTATGTCTTCAGTATCTATCAAATATATGAGGGAAAGGAAAAAAAATTTCAAAAGATATTCTAATGATTCATTTACTTATCTAAATGGGTATAAATTTTCGATTTTTTGAAAGGATTTTTGAATGGTTTATAGCTATCCAATCATAAAGGAAAATGACTTATATCGTTGTAGATCAAATATACGATTTGCCTTCTTTTTCTATATAAAAGTTTTTTCTCAAATAATCTGCATCTAACTGTGTGTCGTATTGCAATTACGAATATGACCAGTTCCATAGAAGAAGAAAATGATTCCGATTATTTTGACGATGAAAATAGTGGTTCGGAAACAGAAGATCATGAAAGTCAAACATCGGATAATGATGATGAAATTGATTTAGAAAATCTTTAGAACCAATCATAAATGACAATTCTGCTCAAGCAAAACGAAAAAGATGTTCCTTTTGTGAACGTTCCAAGGACAAAAAAACATCAACTCAATGCAGTGTTTGTTCTGCGTTCGTTTGTGATGAACATTCTGTTAAACGTATTTTTTGTGACACTTGCTGCGAATAAAAAATGTCATTCTAGTAATTTTTTTATTGCGTCGAATATGAAAATAGCATATTTCCTCAGGGGAGTATCCCAGAGAACAAAAAAATATTTTATGAAAATATATATTGTCAATATAGTACTTAAAATAGGCCGGTACTGCAAGGGTTAAATATTATCAGCGGCGTTCATAACATAATATAAAGCACGAAGGGCAATATTTTCTTTAAATTTTTTTCCATCTTAATATCACTTTTAAAAAAATTAAATTCAACACAAATGTATAGATTTATATGTGTTTCGTCAGTAGTTATCGCAATAAACAGTGAAAGAGCACATGCTAATCTATATATTTGTGATGAATTTTATTTCAAAAAAAGTGATAATAAGACAAAAGAAAATTTAAAGAAAGTTGCAGCTAGAAAGTGATTCTATTATGTTTGATAGTACTAGAAACGGTGGTGTTTATTTTCAAGTAGCATCAGAAACGAAGAAAACTTTTACCAATGCATCGACTATCTGTTACTAAACCGATTATTTTGCTGTGCTTTAAATATGTATACATTTTGATAATATAGCTCTGAGACTGTTAGAAACTATAATAGTCTTGACAAAAGATATAGATTGTTTTCTTTACATTAAAAGAAAGCATTTTTGTGATCTTCATCTCAGTCAATTTTATAATATTTTTATGAGATGTAGGCAAGGGAGGAAAAACTGACTTTTTGATTTAAATCAAAAATGAAAATGAAAAACATCAGACAAATCAATGAAAATGGTAAAATTATTAATCTTTGAGCTTGAAAATATCAATCGAGAGTGAAACAGTTGAAATCTGACTGTTTTTTTGCTTCTTTGGATTTTTCCGATTTTTTTAAATTTTTTAAAATTTTTCTGATTTTTTTGATTTTTCTTATTTTCTTCGTTTAAAATCAGTTGGTTTTAAATTAGAAAAATCAAGAGGAAAATCAAAAAAGTCAACAAAAATAATCTGATTTCACCTGTTTTCTCCTTGCATGTAGCTGTGAAATAGTTGAAGGTTAACCGAACATAAATTATTTCTTTTTGTCTTTGTATAAAATATTGCCATACTACTGTTTTTCATAACAAAGCTGTATTTTTATTTAGGTGAGCCGAGGTACGTTATAAGAACATCACCTACCATTCTGCAGTAGTGATTTTTACATGTCTAGTTGTTTTTAAACGAAATATTAGCGTCCTATATATTTCCTCTATATCCGAGGACGATCCTATATATTTGAGATCTAACAATTCCTATATATTCCTATATATTTTTGAAGGGCTGCTGCGAACCAGCTCTTATACCATATCGTAATGTTTCATTCAAACGAAGAAAGAATGTATATAAACGATAATCATCCCAAACACCAATGCCTAAACCAACATAATTTGGACGTTATGAAACAAGATATGTACGTGTTACATTTGTACATTGATAACGATTAAAATTTGAACATTGTTTAAGTAAACGAAGATAAACAAGATATGATAACATTGTTAATGAGTTTTTAGATTTATCCATTTCTTCATCTGATAATGAGCAGTGGCGGCGGAGCATCATTGGACCGGGTGAGGCTCATAATATTTTTTTGTCTGCTATCAAATTTTGTCAAAGCATCAAGGAGAATATAAGTCTTCTTTTTATTGACCCTCAGTAGAAACCAAAACGGTCATCATGAAACAAGAATGATTAGCAAGCATCAAAACGTAATTTTCTTTGTTCATTCTTTGATGCAAAAGTTGAACAAAGACTTCTCAAGTCAATAGAATCTATCCTTTCTTTGTATATACCAGAGATGTCCATCGCGGCGCTGCCGCGGCAGGCTTTTTAAAAAACCATCGGGGCAGCGGCAGGATTTATTTTGAAGAACATTGAAAAACTGCATGAATTTAATAGAATTTCAGGGTTTGCAGATGGAACACCCCGAGACTGAATGAATCTGGTGGACTAGTACCAATATCTGTGATCAAATATAGTTGCAGCAGTGAAATTAGAAACACTTCTTTGAAATCCGCCGCGGCACGTTTATTTTACAATTCATCGCGGCGCGGCAGCGGCAGATTTTCAGCTGCGATGGACATCTCTGTTATATACATGTATATATATCCGAATATATCTGGATGTGTTAGATACTTAACATAACAAATCCTGATAATACAAAGTAACAGTATTCAGTCTTAAATCAAGAGAGGCTGAGCTTCATCTGCTGAAAACCAGGTGAGGCTCCAGCCTCATGGGTCTCATAGGCTCCGCCGCCACTGATAACGAGCGTGTTGGAGATTCATCAGTCATTGTAAGTAGATTCAATCGAATGGCAACAAAAAGTACTTGAGAACGTACAAATGAACATAATGTATGTTTTAATAAACTATCTAATGTTGGTGCCGATATATTGGAATTATTATCATCACTATATGATGATATATAGATCTAAAAACAAAGTAATTGAGTTAATAGAAAATAAGAAATGCACTCAAATAAATTTAAGAAAAATATTAGAATAAACTGTTTTAAATCCATATTTTAGGTAAACAATCTAACCGCAAACACCCACACCCGCACCATCACCCCCACCCCCACCCCCACACCCACACCACACACCCACCCACACCCGACACCCCACACCCATACCCTTTATTTTTTATTTCATTGAACACGCAAAATTTTCTCAAGGTATAGAAAAAAATACTTGTCAGGTGTTTTTCAAAGTAGTGGTAGAAAATAACATTATACCAAACGAAAAAAATATGTATAAAAACGAACTACGATAAGTTTTAAAATCATTTGTAATAACATATACAATAAAGCTTTAAAAAACGAATTTTCCTTCTAAATAGCAATAAAAGCTTCTGTCTTGAAGGTCTAAAATGAAATCAAGGTACAAACAGGCATGATTTCGGAGGCATGAAAATTATTTTTCTCGCGATAAGGAATCGTACTGAGCGTTAGGAATCAATTGCTTTTTTGCCATGAATCGATGTTGCATCTATGTGACGTAATACATGTTTTTATAACTGATGCTACTCAATGTTATACAGTATTAGAAAATGCCTCTTGAATTCCACCAAGTAATAAAGTATAACTCAGTAACAAAGTTATCAGGCAGGCTATACTCTTAAATGTTCATTTTCATGCGTTGTTAACAGGTGGTGAAAGCTATTCAAGTACGAATTATGCTTGTTGTATTTGTGAAAACATATGAAAACTGAAAAAATATAACATTTTCAAATAGACTCAGGCAGTCGGATGGGATACACTGTCTGAAAATGGCTTAGTAGCGGATGAACACAGCAAGAATACAAACAAAAAAAAAAGGAAATAGCAATATTTATTCAAGATCAACAGAATTTGCTTCATTTCCATCTTCCGTATAGATGTTTTCTGCCTAAAATTCCAGAGATAATATATTTTAAAATGAATTTTAAAAAAGTGTCTTTTACCATTTGCCAACCTTGCACAATATTATCTTCTGGTACTGAAGAAGTAATCCATGGTTCAGTTGGATTCCGTGAAAAATCTGAAATTTTTCCTCTATGCCAATCATGAATGAACTAAAAAATTCAGAAAATAAACATTTCTTATCAGTTTATTTTTTTACCAACAATTCCGATGGACCATCTTCAGCATTATCATTTGTTTGTTCTTCACCAATTTTACTAAACAATTAACAAATTAATAAAGGACAAAAACAAATGGCATCTTCACCTTAAATCCCAAACACGCAATCGTCTACCAGTACCACTTGATGCAAGAATTGTTTCATTATGATGTGACGATTGTACTTGAAATATTTCATTTTTATGTGATTCAAATATATGTAATTTTAACATGAGGTTTCGAAGATCCCAAAGTGCAACTGTCTAAATATAAATAATTAAAAAAAATAAGAACTAAAACTCCAAACAAACTTTATCAGCTGAACCAGTTGCACGAATATATTCTGAAAATAAATTAAATGATAAGCAATTAACTTCTGCACTATGTGCATCAGCAACATGAGATGATTTTGTATAATGTGATGAACGTATATTCCAACTAAAAAATAAAAAGTAAAAAAAAATCGAATTGATATTTAAATAAAATAAAATAAAATAATATATTAATTTATTTTTACATCGTTAATTTACGATCATCACCAACGGAACCAAAAAGTGTTTTATGAAATAAATGCCAAGCAAAATCCTATTAAAAAAAGCAAATATTAAAATATTTTGGTTTTTTACTTTATTTTACTTTGACGACAGCTTGATGTTCAGAAAAATTCGTAATGGATCAACAAATTTTTCTTCTATTGCTAGTTTTTCAGTATTCCATAAACAAATTGTCTGATCATTGGATGCAGATAATATATGTCTATTAATATTAGGATTCCATGAAAGAGCATAACCTTCTTTTGTATGTCCACAAAGACGTAACTCAGGACGACAATCAATATTTTGAGTTGCTAATTTAGTATAATTATATATTAATACAACAGCTGATGGAGAGTTGGTTGCAATAAATGATGAATTTTGTGGCATATAACTAGCACGATTAACTTCGCCATCATGATTTATTTTTAATTCAATATTAACTTTAGCATTATATAAACCAAAATCACCAAATTCTGAAAAAAAAAGTTTGTTTTTTTTTAGACAAAAATATTTGATTTGAAAAAATAAAATTACCTCTTCGTTCAGATCCATATTCAGTCGAATCATTTCCTGTACCTTCTTTAGGAATTTGTACAGATGCAGTTAATAAAGGATTTTGTTCATCTGATGTAAGTGTATTAAGAATAGGATGATGAACAGTATAATCTTGACTATAGTCGGACCTAGAACCAATAGTTTTCTAATGTATATTGATATCGATTTTGACTAAATCTATCTCAAAGATGGAAATGAAATCGATACTGATTCTATGTGTAGAGACTATCGGATCTCATCCAAGTCCCAGAAAGTATAATTCTGATCAATAGCATCATACAGTCTATCAAAAAAAAATGCTAGCTCCTTCTATTCTTGGAAAATATCGATAACTGTAATTGAAATTAAATTTTACAAACAATAAAAATAAAGCTCTGTATCTTTGTAACAAAGATATTAATTAGTATGAAAATTTTTCAAATTCTTACTTGAGGTTTATTTGATCAAAGTCTTCTGTCATTGTAATGTGCGCCTAACTCACATAAAATGAATTAAATAAATATAGAATCGAATGCATTTACCTCTCCTTGATCAATATTAGCTGTTGGAAGAAGATCACTATCTTCATTTTATTTACCACGAATCTAAAAGAATTTATCATTTATTTATACAAATTAAAAAAGAATAACGAACGTTTTTTTCAAGTGTTGCAATTGTTTTTTTCATTTCATCATTTTCTTTTTGACATTGTTCAAGACGTTGTTGTAAATCTTCAGCCATTTTCTCTATAAAATTGAACAATCGAATGAATGAAATTCATCACAACGAATATATTTACTTAATTCATTATAATTTTGTTCAGTATTATGTGGAAGTAGATTTCCTTTAACCATGACAATACTCAGGGCGAAACTACCCACCAGGATCCTGACGGATCCCTGAATAATCCGATGACATCCGACAACAGGATCCGGCCGGATACCGACTGTCTGAATCCCCGTTATATCGCTTGATTTCCGACGTTGTTCGACAGTCGGATTCTCAAGGATTCCGATGGTAGAATCCACCACTTTCCGATAGCTGGAACTTATCGGATCCGCCGTCATCCGACTACCGAAACTTATCGGATCCGACGAAATCCGATAGTATAATAGTGTTTATAAATAGTTTTTTTTTAATTTCTTATATTTCATTGCTTCTTATTTTATTTTATTTTCTACTTTACTGTATATTTATTTTATTTTTATTATAGTTTTATTTTATTTTAATTTAACTTAATTTAATTAATTTTTATTTCATTTTATTTTTATTTTATTTTATTTTAATATACTTTATTTTTAATCGATTCTAATGCTTTAGTTGAATCACAGCGCCCTCATCCACACGTTGTACGGTGTGTTTACATTACACCAATCAGTGTGTAGATGTAATACATAACGGACTGTCTGTTTCTATTTTAGTTTTTTATTTTATTTCGTTTGGTTTCAAATTATATGACGGCAGACATTTTATAAGCAGTAAGTAGAAATTATTCATTTTAGTTTAATTTTTTATTTCACTCTATTTTTTTATGCTGTTTATATTATTACATTTTATTTTTATTTTCCTTGTATTGTACTTTATTTTTTTTTGTATTAGTGTAGTTTATTTTATTTAGTTTTAAGTTTAATTTTTTTGTATTTTATTGTAATTTATTTATTTTATTTTACTTTATTATTTGTAATTTGAAATCTTTTGTGTTTTATTGTATTTTTTTTATTCTATTTATTTTATTCTTTGCTATTTTATTGTAATTTTCTTTAATTTTATTTCTTTAGTTTTAATTTTTGGCTATTTTATTGTAGGCTTTTTTAATTTTATTTTTATCTATTTCATTGTAATTTATTTATTTTTTTTTTACTTTTTTAATTTTAATTTTAAATTTTTTGTATTTTATTGTAATTTTTTTTATTTTCATTTTATATTGCATTAAATAAAAGTTGAAAATAAACTAGATTTGAACTATTAATATGCAGCTCAATGCAGTTGAGGGAGGAAGTAAGGGAGGGGATCAAACGATATCTAATGTTCAGATCTGAATTCAACAGGTTTGCATAGGATTCCGAGAGTATCCGACATTTTCCAACTATCGGGTTTGATTGTCGAAAACCGTCGGATCCGACAACTTCCGACTGGATTCCGCTACCAAGGATTCCGACAGGGGTCCTGTCGGAATTTATCGGATTAAGCCAGATTTCCGACAGGATCCGGAACCCAGAATACTCGTCCTGGGTACAATTAAAATTGTAAAACAAAAAAAAGACAAAATCTTACTATATTTTAAACAAAAATCGATAAAACAACTATCCACGTCTAATTGAAATAAACCATATTCATTTTTACTCATATGTAATTGAAAAAGATCATTTATTAGTCCAATTCGATGTACATAATAAGCCACTAATGTTACACTGTAAGACAAATCATGACGAAAAGCAAATAGTATCAGTAATGATACCTATAAAAAATATTTGACAATTTAACGAAGCAATATTTTGTTTTTTCTTACTTTTGCAAGAAGACTAACATTGCCTTGAGCTAAATCATTTGTATTCCATTTATTAATTCGATGAGTTGAATAATCTATTAAAGATCAAAAAAAGATTTTAAAAGAAAAAAGATTATTCTAAATACTGGAAAGATAGTCAAGAACAAATTGAAATTTATCTTGCATAGCATCGAATAATGGAACAATAACACTTGGTGCTTCAGATTTTCGTCGTTCACTAAATAATTCAATAAGGGTGTGGGTGTGGGTGCGGGTGTGAGTGTGGGATGTGGGTGTGGGTGGTGTTTGCATCTATCTCCACACACACCCACATCCACACCCACACCCATCACACCCACATCCATATCCACACCCACCACATCCACACCCACCACGCCCACATCCACACCCACACCCACGTCCACATCCACACACCCACATCCACACACCCACACCCACCCCATACCCTTTCTACTAAAATTAGACCGTCGAAAACAAGACAATTTCATTGGTTTCTTGTGAATTTTCATGCACGAAATGTATTTCAAAGCTTCCAGAAGACTTCAAGAGACTTCATCAGACTTCATCACACTTTATGAGTCTTTAGAGACTTCAGAAGACTTCGAAAGACTTTCAAAACTTCATGAGACTTCAGCCGTGAAGTCTCCGCCGTTTTTCTTTTGCTTAAACTACTAAATTGCGGCTGATGAGACTAAAATAAACAAAGGAATAAATTTAATATCTTTTTATTGGCTAGCAATTAATAAGTAAACCTCTCTCTTTTAAGATTAAAAGACCACAGCTTTGCGTTGTATCTTTGCACATCGTTCCTTTTTAGGTGGTCTTATGTTAAGGTCATCTTTTCACTAGTTATTGATTAAAAGCTTCAAATAGTAAATCAATAATTTTAATAATAAATCATTCAGTGTAATTAACGTTTGTCGAGTAATTCAGCAGTGGCCAAATTCCCAGGAGTCGGGAACTCATTGAGAATTGAGAACTCAAAGTGTGTGTGAGTGTGGGTAGGGGTCCTCAAGTCCTATTTTTTCAAAAAAATTTTTTGAAAAAATAGGACTTGAGGACTCCTACCCAGACTCACACACACTTTGAGTTCTCAATTCCCCATGACTTTCCAACTCCTGGGAATTTGGCCAGGTCTCTGTAGTTACGTAACTCCAAAGTAAAGTAAATGTGCCACCCCTATATTGAACAATTCTTATACACTTCGAAAAATTGTCGTGATCGGATGTGTAATAAAATTCTTTTCTTAGCATTGATATCTGTACTACGTAACTTAAAATATATAACTCAAGAGTAACACAAATATTTTGAAAGACGAACAGGAAACTACAATGCTTCTACTTTAAAAAATCCATATAATAAGCTAAGTCTCGAAGTAAATAACTACCATTATATACTATTAGAATCTCATAGATAACGCTTATAATGTTTGAAGAGAAATATGAAAAATTCTTTGACGTTGAGAACTTTTCATCAAATATCTTGATTTTTGATGAAAAAATCTTTTCAAGTGAGATTCAGTCCATGATCAGGTGATTTTCAAACAACCCTCGTTCATGATTGAAAAAGAAATGAGTTATCATTATGTGATATAGATAAAAATAGACTTGTAGAGAATTATCTATGTTCATCAAAGAAACGTCGATACGTAGATCTACCAGAATCTTGTTTTTAAATGTTGCATGAGGCATTCTTCTATTCTTTTACCATAATTACGTTCTTATCGGGCGTAGTTTGAACACCGTCATCTTTTTATTAGCAGAGGTTGAAGAAAGAAAAAAAAATGAAGGAAAAACATTTTCTCATTTCATTCTGCAAATACTGATAAACAACTTTTCCTATTCTTATCCTTCACCATTTATTTTTCTTTTATTTGACAGACGGCTCTACTTTTTGGAATAATAATATTAAAAGTGAATCCTCCTAATGTAAGTTTTCATTCTTTTTAAGCATAACAAAGAAAAATATAGTAATCAAATGATACATCAATCAAAAGATCTTTACGTTGCTTTTTTTTATTTGTTTAGATATTTAATTGATGACAGCTATTTGATAGAGATCATATATGAAAAAATCATAGTTAATTTTATTTCTAGAGAAATTAGATCTTTTTAAATAAAATTTTGCATCTATTTAAAATAATACTCTTTTTTATAAGAAAAAGGAAAAAGTCGTATTGTAAAAAGTATCTTCTATGTAACTTACAAGTTTTGATATGACAAAAAAAGAAACTTGTTTTGTTGTTGTTCTCCTGTTTTCTTTCTACTTTCCTCTGCTAGTCGTTCTTTTTTTCATTGTAGCCAAAAACCACATAGACTGCTAAATATTCTATAGTTTGACAGGAAAAGAGAAAAAGCAAAAATTAGATTTATAGGAATGAGAGAAAGAAATGAAAGAGAAAAACCACATAGAAATCATCGATCAATGACGTCTTTTGTTTTTCTTTTATTACAAATAAACAGAAATGGATTGTGAATCAAACAGTTAAAGTATTGAAGGGCATCAGCTAAGAAATGTACTAATTACGATTATCGCAACACTATCATTTTAACCCTTTGACAACGGTGAGACATACATTGTTTCACCTGTTTTTCAGTAGAGAAAAAGTGTTGTGCTTGCGTTAAACTATTAGACCTGCAAGGTCATATTCCCTCGACTGAAGGGAGGGTCATACGAAATAAAATGCGTTTGTTTGTTATCTTGCTTGATTGGGGTCAAAAAAACATACCAGAGAGGTTAGCTTATTTTAAGACTTTTGGTCGTTTTGACCGAACTTTGCCATAGGTTATCGAGGGCCCTGAATCCGAATTTGAAGCCCATTTTTTTAGGCGAGGTTTCATTGGTCGAAAACCGACCAATCAGAAACGAACTTTCTTATTTTAAGGCTTTTGACCTTTTTTGATGGAACTTTGCTATAGGTTATCGAGGTCCCGGAGTCCGAATCTGAAGTTCATTTCTTTGGCTGGGGTCTCATTGATCGGGAGCGGACCAATTAAAAATGAACTTTCTTATTTTAAGATTTTTTGTTGTTTTGACGGAACGTTACTAAAGAAGCTAAATCTTTGTTTTGAACATGATATTCCCTCGACTGTAGGGAGGATCACATGAAATAAGATAAGTTTGCTTGTGGTCTTGTCGTGGGTCAAAAAAACATCAAAGATGAATTTTTTTATAAAGGTTGACGAAAGTAAATCGGGGTCGGAGAATCCGAATCTGAAGTTAGTTTTTCAAAATTTTGAATTGATTTTTTTGGGTTGAGGAAAGGGTTTTTTAAGAAAACAGTGATATTCCCTCGACTGTAGGGAGGGTCATATGAAAAAAACTAAAATGCGTTTGTGTGTGTGTGTGTGTCTGTTTATCGCAAGGTCAAAAGAACATCACAGGGGAACTTGATTTAGACGTACCTTCTAAAGTTTCAGTACAGGTAATTGAGGTTGGGAAATCTGATTCCGAGGGCGGATTTTAATTCCGGTATTCCTATTGGCTAGAAAGCCGACCAATCAGAAATGAGCTTTTTTATTTTAAGTATTTTACACATTTTGATGAAACTGTACTATAGGTTATCGAGGGCCAGGATTCTAAATCCGAGATCGGATTTTGCATCTGACCATCCGATTACCTAGGAAGCCGACCATTCAGAAATGAGCTTTTTTTCTTTAGAAAATTAGGATATTTTATAAGGATGATGAAAATAAACCGGGGTCGGGGTATCCGAATCCATAATCGCTTTCTTAAAATTTTGAGTCCAACTTTTTCGGCCAAGGAAAGAGTTTTTTTGATAAAATAATGATACGCTATAAAAGTTGACGATAGTAAGTCGGGGTCGGAGCATCCGGATCCGTAATCGGTTTCTCGACATTTTTAGTTGAACTTTTTCGATCAAGGAAAAGCTTTTTTGGGGAAAATAACGATATTTTATAAAGGTTGACAAAAGTAAGTGGGGACCGGGTTATTGGAAACTGCAATCGGTTTCCCGGAAATTTCAAGTTCTTGTTTGTATCCGTTCTCTCTATTATTGGGACAGACACTGGAGGTATCTTTTGCACATGGGTAGCTCTTAGCATGCCTCAAACGATTGGGAAGGCAAGCAGATTAGAAACGCTTCGACAATACTCTTTAAATGGTCAAACGATGGAAGTTAATCGCATCTTGAAATCCCATATGTTTGGTATAAAAACACCAATATGATTTCACTAGGAGATGCTGTCCATGTCAAATCTCCGTATCTCAGCAGCTTTTAAAGGTATAACAAAAGCCATCTATGTTCAAAGAAAGGCGACGGTGCCTTTTGTAACGACAGAGGAGTGTGGTAAAATTTACTAGATTTTCTTACAATCTTTCAATAGAACTAATTTGGTGAACAAATTTCTCTCATTTCTTTCATAAGGTTAAATGTATACCCTGCGGAAATCTATCCATAGATGGGGTAGGACCTTAAACTGGTATGTGAGAATAAACTGTCATTTATTATTATTATTATAAAAAACCCGAATTTTTAACCTTGTACATATTTGGAGGGATCTCTAACTCGTGGAATTTCTAGTTGCGATAACTTGAGGTAATAAAAAAATAGATGTATAAAAACGATGCCATATCGTTTATATTAAATAGACAATAAACAAACTGTTGCATGAGTGCACTGACGTAAAATGAGTGGCTTGCTACTTATATTGCAACCGTTCGGTAGATTTTGTTCATCAAAGATATGTATAAAACCTAATGTTTTTTGGGAATACTGTACTAATATTTTCTTAATGAGGGATTTCAATAAAACTCTGATTTTTCAGCTGCAGAGTGAAATTGAAGAAATCAGAAATAGTTCACAACGAAGCTTTGGTTTAGAGATCCCCGTCGAGAATTGTCGTGCTAGAGATCTAATGGTTTTTCGAAGTAAACCGAGTTTTTGATTAGATGAAGTGTAAATAAAAAAGGATAGTGCTGTGGAGAAATAGAACGAAACATAGCAGCGGCTAGTCGTTCGTCGGTGCTCCTTCGGGGCGCCACTCACGACTAGCCGCTGCACTAGAAAGTCTCTTGAATGAATGCTTCAAGCTGTTGGTATTCAACAAATAGACATCAAGAGTCTAGGTCAAAGAGGTTTGACGAAGGAGTAGCAGTTACTAAGAACTGAGAAATATTTTGAAATAAAGTGTGAGAACGCCTTT